CAGAAACGTTTGAAAAGAAGCCAGTTTTTATCTCTCTAGCGTAGAAAGGGAAAGAAGTACCTACAATAACAGAAAGAAGAATTAAGGGTGCACCTTCTACTTTACAACACGGTAACCTCGTTAACTCAGTCAAAAGTATATAAGTATCCTGCCCGTATCAACTGTAACTACATTCACCAATTCAATTTCACTCCAGATAGAAGGTATATAGGAAGGCCTGAAAGGAGAGAGTGCATTAGATTTATTTCTGAGCATATCCCTAAAAGTCTCTGTATGAAAGGTAGCAAAGTGTTCTCATCATATACGATTGCCCGACACCTAATTGACACAGGATATATGGTGGAAATCAATACACAAAGAAAACCATGGTTACTTAGTTTCACAGAAGCTAGTGCTATCATCAAAAGACTTCGACACAACCTATGTAGATTTGTAAGGAGACACATGAACGTCAGGTACAATAAAGAGAAACTAACAACATTTAAAACGAAACAAATGTTCATGAAATTGCAATTTAATGGGGACGTGGCGAGTGAAGTCTTACATCTGAGATTATCGACAGCAATCAAAACGGACTTATACTGTCACCACCCTCTGTTTGTCATTTTCCGGCCGACCAGTTTTGATTGCTCAAGTGAAAGATAAGCTACCCAGCTGTGCCACTTCTATGTGTATCTACAAATTTAGTTGCTCCTGTGGAGAAAGCTATATAGGGTGAATAACTAGACAGCTTAACAAACGCATTAATGAGCATCTTCCTTCATGGTTCGGAAAAGGTCAAATAAAATCCATACGAAGTTCTATTTTGGCTCATTTGACTGATAGCGGTCACCGAGTGGACAAAAATAGTGCCTTCAAAGTTATCTATCGCATTCTATCGAGCCTTCCGAACAGAAATTGAATCTGTCTTTTACACATAGCCGAAGCTATGGGGATTGACTCGAGAGAACAATCCTTGTGTTTGCATACAAAAGAAGTTTGTTCTACCTTTGTCTCTCCCTTGGCCTAGGTGAATTCTATTCAAAACCCTCCTACCCTTTCTTATTTTTCATCTCTTTCGTATTTTTATGATATTTATTTAAACTCTGATTATCTGTCCATTTCACCCTTAGTATCACCTAACTTTTAAGATTTGACCTAATTTATTTATTGAATTTTATTGAATTTGAGATTTTCCCGACGATTGATTCGACCGAAGTGCTCGGTCTTACGTTGACATGTCGGCTTCTTGTGCAGATGCTTCGACGACATCTGCACATTTAGTTGATATTTAATTCGTGGATGGTGACTCTAGCAGTGGAATCCAGGATCCGCATTTCGTCCTATTTGGGACTCGTCAGCTAGCAGGATGTACCTGCACTCCACAGTGAGTGGTGATGTTCCCACCGAGGCTCGAACCCAGTGCCCGACATGCCAACCTGAGACAGAGCACTTCGGCCCAATCAATCGACAGGAAAACCAAAAATTCAATTAAATCAATATAACCCGTTGCATAAGAGGTGGCTTTCGGGGCCCAAGTGGTCTAGTGGATAACGCTTTGGCGTTTGAAACTATGGGCAGTGGGTTCGAGCCTCGGTGGGAACATCACCACCCACTGAGAAATGCAGGTACATCCAGATGACGAGTCCTAAATAGGACGAAGTGCGCATCCTGGATTCCACTGCTAGTCACCATCCACTGATTAAATATTTATTGAATTGTCTACATATACACATACTACTACCTTTGTTATTCATATCACCACGTGCATAAACCTTATTATCAATATTTAGTTATCATTATAATCATCGTTATTAACTTCGTTCAAAACATTTACCATATTATTATCATTAATATTATTAAGATTATTTGATACACAGAATCACCGTCATTGGTTAAAAATTTATATATATGTGTGAGTCAATGTAAATTAGGGTAAAGCCTGAAGAAGATCTAATTGAAAACAACAATCTTGTTCGCTTATATGCCTTGTTCTAACAACCTCTGTATACAGAAAGATAGTGTGATTAATCTCTTACTACTATCCTGATAACTGTAATTGTTTTGTTCGTTTACTTTTGTGTTTTGATCTGTTACGTAACATTCCACTTTATGTTGATTTGGATTTTCACTTACTGAGTTGAACTCACTATTAAGTTTCCAAATTGACTTGAATATTTGTGTAGGTCATAACTACTACTATTCACTCCAACCCTGTTGGACTCTTCACTATAATATGTATAAATTCAAATTGTTTTTCGATCTTGTGTTTTTTGTCTCTTGTGAGTTGTTGTTTTCAAATGAATTCTGAATTCTAATCCTCCATTGTGTAATTGTACTATAACTATAACTAGTGAATCTTTTAACACTGAGTAATCTATCTATTCATTCACATCATTGTGGAACTAAATCCCTACAAAAACCGATTCATTGAAACTTCATCTGATCTTCACTAGCAACTGGCCCTATTCAGGTAGGTAGTTATCTGGGGTTATAGTGGGAAGCCGTGACCAGTAGGGTACAACAGGTTGACGACGAGGCAGCAACTCATCGAAGGAGACATTGCGAAATGGTCGCGCTATGTCGTGCGTGAATTCGCAGAAGTCAGAATTCATGGGCTGGCTGGCTATTGGATCAGGTCCCAGTGGGTGAATGGTCTCCGAGCTAGCTCGCCTTGTAAACGGAAGGTCCTGGGTTCGAACTGTGGCGATGGGTACATGCTGACAATGAGTCCCAAACTAGGACTGGGGTATACAGCTGTCCAGTGCTCCCAGCTGGTGATTTTCCAGTTGTTCTCTAACTGATGTCAGCTCATGATGAAATCCTCCATCCAATTGTATTGTTCACATTTTCTACCTATAACTCAAAGTCACTGTGGAAAAAGTATGTTCAGAAATTTTGTAACGTATAATTCAACTTTAGGATTTCATCATGAACTAACATCAGTTAGAGGACAATTGAAAACCACCAACAGGGAGTACTGGACAGCTGTTTCCTACGTCCTAGTTTGGGACGTTTCATTAGCAGTATACACCCAAGGCGGTTGGAACGCAGGACTTTCAGCGGTTACAAGGTGAGCTTGTAAACCAGTACTCCCAGGTTTTCCAATGGTCCTCAAACCGATATCAGTTCATGATGAAATTCTGAAACCAATAAAATCCCTGCAAACCAATCCTTGGATATCAGTCTGGTGATCTCTAGTGACTGGTCCTATTCAAGTGGGTAGCGGGAAGTCGTGACCAGTGGGGTACAGCTGGTCGGTTGTGAGGACAAATACTCGCCGAAAACAATGGCTAGTGGTAGCGTTATGTCGTGAATTGGCAGAAGTTGGAATTCATGGGCTGCCCATTGGATCGGGTCCCAGTGGCTTTATAGTCTACGAAATCACCTTTAACCAGAAAGTTTTGGGTTCAAACCTCAGTGGGTGCATACTGCTGACTGGGATATACAGCTGTTCAGTACTCCCAGGTTTTCCAATGGTCCTCTAACCGATATAAGCATATGATGAAATCCTGAAATCAATCGAATCCCTGAAAATTAGCGCTTGAATTCAATTTTATCTAGAATGTAGACAGTTGAAGAGAATCCACGTCTGTAAATATGTTCATTCCTTCTTTTGTTCAAGCTGTGAAAGGAAACCGTTTGCATGAAATTCTTTCCCTATTGATGAATTGAATGAGTATAAAACTTTTTTGGCTGCAATGTGAGTCTATCTCAAGTAAAAGTCAGTCTACACATCAACGTTCTATGCTCATGTAGTCAAGATATGTAATACAAAACAGCAGAATACAGATAGGTGAACTCTCTTGACAGCTTAACAGTTGACTGAAGTACAGGCCTAAAATTCTAACTTACTAATTGGAAGTCTAAAGCGATATAACGAGAGGAGAGGAACGGCTCCACTAGAAGGAATTTAACACTCCCTATGAAGAAACTCTTTATAGATGAAATATTACATAACATCTAAGGTACATCTTCAACAATCTAGAAAAGACCAGTCGCCAATCCCTGACACTTCAAACTGCGTTTACATCAATTTGAGTGTTTCTGTGGAAGTAAGGAAATGCATTCGTCGTACAGAAAGGCGATTGTCTACTCGCATGACGGGGCATTTGCCAAAGTGGTTGAAACACAACTGAATACAAAGTACCAAACAACCTTAATAACAAAACATCTTGTGGACAATGGACATGATATCGACGCTGTCAAGTCATTCACTATTGTCAACAGACAAAGAAACAGGAAGATGCTTGCAATTGCAGAGGCTTGTGCAATTCGAGTTTATAAACCGGGTCTCTGTGTACAAAAGGAGATGGTCGTGACTCTGAATCTACCATGATAATACGTTTTAATTATTATTCTACCTCTTATTATTATTATTCTTGATTTATTTAAAACTATCCTTTATCAGTAGGATTATCTTAACTCACTTCAACACTATTATTATTATTATAGCTATTACTATTAATATTACTCTGTTTGCAATTCTTGTTATATTCTCTAATGTCTAATTGTTTATCTAAGTGATGTAATTGAAGCGTAATGCAATTTATCTTAATTTTGATCTCTCATACTCCCTCTTCCCTTATCTATTGAACATCACCTGGAAAACATTCGCACCTGTCTTTCTGCATAACTAATTCAATGTAGTTTGTTTACTGATCAGTGTTATATCTCCCTATGTAATCTCAAAAGTATATACATATCCGTGTAGGTAAAGTATTCAGCTGCGGAGGAGTTCTACCGAAATTTGATGAATCCATCATTAAATCCTGCTTTATTAACCTTTATTGCTTGTTCGTACTGACTAAGAGTCCCAAACTAGGACGGAGGAAACAGATGGCTGTCCAGTACTCCTTACATGGTTTTCTAACCGACGTCAGCTCATGATGAAATCCTCCGCCCAATCAAACAATCAATCCCTACAAACCAATACTTGAAAAAAAAAAAATATATATATATATATATATATATGTTCACAAAAAATAAACACACATTAACAGCAACAAAAAAAAACTCACTAAGACTTCAGGTGTCAATGCATTCGGCAGTGTCATATCAGTTAAAAATGAAAACAACTCATTGAAACTACACAAAAGTAAATCTTTTTCAAATAATTTCAATATTGCCAAAGCTGCATAGAATAGAGCCGATTCTTCATAGATAAAATATAAATCCCATAATCGCATAGCAGTTTCTAATGGAAGTGTCCCACTGAAAATACACAGAATTACAAACAAATCAACTATATGTTAATCGATAGAAGTGAGTTATACTATGTTTCAAAATATTTACAATATTTTTAATAATAAATCAGAGTTATTGGTGTACTCAAGTGTTCGTTTGTAGGGATTTGGTTGATTGGTTACAGGATTTTATCATGAGCTGACATCAGTTAGAGAACCATTGGAAAACCTACAGGGAGTACTGGTCAGCTGTTTCGTCCTAGTTCGGGACTCTTCATCAGTACACACTCTACGCCAGGTTTCGAACCCAGGACCTTCTGGTTATAAGGCGAGCGAGCTCGTAGACCATTGAGCCACTGGGACACGATCCAATTGTTCTTGAATTCTAACTTCTGCCAATTCACGACCCCTTGCCAGTGTCTTCGGTGAGTATTTGTCCTCACACCAGACCTGCTGCACCCTATTGGTGTACTGTTTTAAGCATATTATCAAGTATTGGTCTGAGGGGATTTGATTGGTGGTTACAGGTTCGATCACGAGTACTGGACAGCTTTTTTCTCCATCCTAGTTTGAGACTCTTCAGCAGTACCCCACCCCACACTGCCAGGGTTCAAACCCAGTGCCTTCAGGTGTTACAAGACATTTTAACCACATCGAATGCAGTGAATAGGAAAGAGGGGATAGATTTATCACTTATATTGACAAACTCTAATGAAGCAAGACAAATGCGAAAACAACAAAGGCCTCTATGAATCTCCGTGACCTTTATAAAAAGTATTATCATGTTAATCACATGTGAATTGACGTCTTTTCCATACGACAAATAACATACATACACTCTCACACACACTCATACGAAACTAATCTTTACAATTCAACTATAGTAAAATATACACAATAACAATTTGACATTAGTTATTACAAATATATATAATGACTGCTTACATATTTCTATTGCATGGAGGATTTCACCATGAGCTGACATCAGCTAGAAAACCACTGGAAAACCTGGGAGTACTGGACAGCTGTTTCATCCTAGTTTGGGACTCTTCAGCAGCTCATGGTGAAACCCTCCATACAATCAAACAAAATCCCCACAACACCAATACTTGAAAATTAATCTGATGCTCACTAGCGACTGGCCCTATTCAGGCAATTAACCTGGGGTTCTAGTGGGAAGCCGTGACCAGAAGGGTACAGCAGGTCGAAGATGAGGCAGTAACTCATCGAGGAAGACACTGTGAAGTGGTCCACTATGTCGTGAACTGGCAGAAGTTAGAATTCAAGGACCATTGGATCGCGCGAGTCCCAGTGGCTCAATGGTCTACGAGCTGGCTGGCTGGCTGGCCTTGTAACCAGAAGGTCCTGGGTTCGAACCCCGGTGGGTGTGTACTGATGAAGAGTCCCAAACTAGGACGAAACAGCTGTCCAGTACTCCCTGTATGTTTTCCAATGGTTCTCTAACTGATGTCAGCTCATGGTGAAATCCTCCATGCAATACAACAAAATCCCTACAAAACCAATACTTGAATATTTCTGTTGGTAAAAATGTCCATGGACAAATGACCTTCAAATAAACTGACTTCAATTCATATAAAATTCTTCTTTTTGACTATATATTTTGATGATAAATAAAATTCCGAATAAATCTACTGAAGAAGCTGTGGCTTACACAGCGAAACGTCCAGAAAACAGATCTTGTTTTGATTTTCTCCCAAACACGCTTGAATTAATTTAAATAAATAATTTATAATGGAACAATATTCTTTATTGAAACAACCAAATCAATAGGCGGTGAATTGTATTCAACAGATTTTATTGTTAAAAAACACAAAGAAAAAAAAACAAAAATGCACAGAAATGGAAAAAATCTTAAGAACTTACCTAAATATAGTAAAAAACCAATCGAATAAAAACATATTTGTCTCTAATCCAACTGCTTTAATGTGTGCATACAAATGAGGCAGATATTCAGCAAATAATTTATCAAAAGCATTCACATAGACTAAAAACTAATTTGTTAAAAACAAAAAACAAAAAAAAATAGAAAGAGACAAAAAACAATCAATCAGTACAACTTAGACTCAGTTGATGAATAGAGTGCTATCAATTATAACGACGTACAGTGACTACTAAATAAGGAAGCTAAATTTAATTGGTAGATGGTGACTAGCAGTGGAATCCACCAGGATAATGTGCATTTCGTCCTATTTGGGACTCATCCACCAGCTGGATGTACCTGCATTCTACAGTGAGTGAGTGATGATTTTCCCACTGAGGAGAACGCTTTGGTGTTTGAAACTATCGGAACTGGGTTCGAGCCCCATTGGGAAGGGAATATCATCACTCACTGGGGAATGTAGGTACATCCAGCTGGTGGATGAGTCCTAAATAGGACGAGATGCGCGTTATCCTGATGAATTCCACTGCTAGTCACCATCTACCAATTTAACTTGTAATTACATGCTAAATTTACTTCGAAGTCTTCATTATTATCCGGTTTTCTCTCCAATCCTCTTCAGCTGACCTTAAGATTGCCTAAAAGCTTTCATCTCTAGCTCCCACGATCTCCTTCATGTCACCTTCGAACCAACAACAACAAACTCATCGTTTCCTATTCGGGATTCCACTAGAGCAATATCGTTCGTTAGTCTCCTCAATGGGGCAGGTTTGCAATCCATCTCCATCTTCCTAACTCTATTTCTTGATTGGTTCGTTCACAGAGTTTCTGATTACTAATTCTTTCGCTGTTGATAACAGTCTACAGGAGGCTGTTAGAAATACTTTCTGTGCCTAACGACAGTGTTAAGGTAATTTCGAGTTTTCGATGTTATCACTGTTGAACAGAGTAACATAGATCTATTGCTGTCTTTGGAGAGTTTTGAGGCCGTGTATTGGTCAGCTATACATTAAGACACAGAGATCGGTTTCTTGAGTTTAGACTGAGAACTACATCATTATTTTATGATCGCTATTGCACATCCTTGAATGAAAAGGATTAGGTGCCTTTCAGAGTTTTATTACTTGTAGATACGAATATATATAAAGTGGCCTCTTTCCTATTTATTCCTTTGATGACGATTGGGGCTTGTTGTTATTTTTGTCGGTTGGTTTGTTATCTTCAACATTTCAAGGAACTCTATATTTGCTTGAAGTTATGTCTTTGCTGTTTTTTTCTGCCAACTCGTTGGGGTTCGACTGTAAGTCTTCGAGTTTCTGTAACATTAAATATAAATCATCCACACACACGAAATCTATATCTACTTAAGTTTTCTTATCGACCGAACGTATTCCTGCCTTCTCGCTCCCTTGCACGATCTTCCACACAATCTAGTCCTCCAGAATTAGTAATGTCCTCAAAGATCAAATCGCCACACTATGCATCATCATTGAATAAAGCTTAGAATGGCAGTCAGTCAGCTCTCTACCTCAACTTCATTGACTTTGAAAAAGGCCTTCGATAGCACAGCGTCGATCGAGAGGTGATTTGACAACTACTTCGCTATTACGGGGTGCCGCCAACAATTATGCCCCTCATCCAAAAGGTTTACGATAACGCTGCATTCCAAGTAAACCACAACGGGAAACTCATAGAATCCTACAAAGTGAAGACGGGAGTCAGACAAGGCTAGCTGGCTGCCTACTATCTCCAGTCGTTCTCTTGATTGCAGTAGATTGGATAATGTGACAGACAGCGGGCCGGGAAACGAGGAAACAGGCATAAAATGGACTCACACAAAAACTTGGAGGATCTGGACTTCGCCGCTGATTACATGTGTCTGATTTCCACAAACTGGAAGATATAGAAGTGAAAAGCAAAAAGTTGAAAGAAGAAGCACCCACAGAAGATAGGACTTCTGGTGAACACAGAGAAAACAGATGTGATGAAGATTCCTGGCCAACACCAACATCAGCAACAACAACAGACAACAATCAGCCAGTATAAATGGGAAGAACCTGAAAGAAGCAACCTCCTTTACCCACCTACCTACCTGGGAAACATCGTTTCAACTACAGGCGGAACTGATGAGGATAACAAAGTAAGGATCGGAAAAGCAAGACAGCCTCAAGTATCCGTGGAGTTCAACAGCACTCAGCATGAAAATGAAAATAAGATCCGGATTTTCAACTCCAATGTGAAGTCAGTCAGTGCTACTCTACACGGATCAGAGACTTGGCGCGTCATAAAGGGCACCTCAAACAAACTACAGACCTTCATCAACAGCTGCCTTCGCTCAAGACCAGATGGCCAGAAATTATCAGCAACAGGGGTCTCAGGAAGCGAACCAACCAGGAACCGACTGTGCAACAAATAAGCAGGAAGAAATGAAGACGGATTGGCTGGCCATACTCTGAGAAAAGAAACCATCAAGTGAGTGACATCACTAGACCAGCCATCACTCGAATAGGAAGCGGCGAGTTGGTCGTCAATGCAAGGGTGACATGGAGGAAGAGGTGATGTGAAGAGGAGATGAAAACATGTGGGCAGACTTGGAGCCAGGTGAAAACCCTAGCAGAGAACCTAAGGCAATGGAGACGCGCAGCTGAAGTCGTATGTTCCTCTAGGAATTAAAGGAAATAATAATAATAGACAGCCTTGTGTCTTACTCCTGTCTTCACAAAGGATGGTTAGTTATTACTACTTCAAAATCAGTTGCCTGGAACAGATTTCCCACTTCATAGGCTACGATCAACACTTGTCACATAAAAACTGTGAATACTACTCACTCACAGCTATTCAAGCTGAAATATATAGACAGAACTGACTGAAAGTCAAGTACCGTCAACTAAAAAGGGGATTGATTGATTGATTGATTACACGATGTGGTTGGTGGTTAATAAGCCTAACCCAAATAACTTAACTATCCAAAAGTTAATCAGAAATGAACATTAGTAAGTAGACTTACTTGTTCTTCATTTAAACTATAAAATGCTTGATGACATGGTCTAGCTAAAATATTTGCAAATATTACAAATGCATCATAAACATTATCAAATACAATTAAAAGCATTCCAGCTAGCAATGACATTCCTGGTACATAGCCAACTTCAGGTTTATACGTAATATAGGTAGCCAATAAATCATGCAATTTTTCATGATATGGATTACCAAATTGAAATAATCTCAAATCGGGAAATGTTCTACAAATATCATCAGATTTAACTCCACGTGGACTGATGACACGATCTACAGATTATTATGAACACACAGGGAAACAAAAACAAACAGAAGAGAGATGAATCAATCAAGAAGAGATCAGAACAATCAAACAAAATCCCTACAAAACCAATACTTGAAAATTAATCTGATGCTCACTAGCGACTGGCCCTATTCAGGCAATTAACCTGGGGTTCTAGTGGGAAGCCGTGAACAGTAGCGTAGAGCAGGTCGAAGATGGGGCAGTAACTCATCAAAGAAGACATTGTGAAATGGTCCACTATGTCGTGAACTGGCAGAAGTTAGAATTCAAGGACCATTGGATCGCGCGAGTCCCAGTGGCTCAATGGTCTACGAGCTGGCTGGCTGGCTGGCCTTGTAACCAGAAGGTCCTGGGTTCGAACCCCGGTGGGTGTGTACTGATGAAGAGTCCCAAACTAGGACGAAACAGCTGTCCAGTACTCCCTGTATGTTTTCCAATGGTTCTCTAACTGATGTCAGCTCATGGTGAAATCCTTCATGCAATCAAACAAAATCCCTAGATGACTAGAGAAGAGGGATTCATTTGTTCAACAATTGACAAATTTATGAATACCTGATTGTATCTAAATTGGATCCAACTGTATTTGATGCCAAAAATGTTATTATTAAGTGGGACAGTCAGTGAAATATGTATTCCCTGATGACTTGCAAGTGTTTCATGCAAAACCTTTGTAAAACTTCATCGTACAAGCAATGGGTTATTTTATTCATAAATTATTTGATAAACATTCCATTTGTTTAGTACGAAATTCTTTATTTATAACACCCAAGTAGTTAAGTGAATTCAGACTGATGAATATTAAAGTTAATTTTGGTTGAAATATAAGAAGTCTAGCGTGCATTGATGGCGCAGTGGGAAGATGTTTGTCAACCATGCTGCATGAGGTTTGGCTTTCTGTCCTCGGTCGACACACTCCCAGATCTCGTATAGCTGGTAGAAAGCCAGGTGAAGAGGGAAAGTTGGACGTAAGACTAGCAACCTCACTTCGTAAAAAATTAAACTAGTGTGACGTGTCTATTCCTTACTTTGGTGCAGAATGATTTCTATCAGTCAGGTTTGCAATGTGACCACCATGCCACTAGGTAGCTCGCCATCACAATGCACATTGATTTGATGATATTAGATAGTTGAAGGCAATCGGCTACAGGAAGCCATACATCCACCTAGGTTTCGTGCTAGCTGGCACTCCCCAATCAGCAAGGCGTATCTGCAACTAGTTACTATTTTTCGATCAAAGTACTCACTACAGTCCTACAGGAAGTCAATCGCGAGCCCGAATAGCTAAGTGGTAACGTCTCTGACTGTAGGACTCACTGGGTGATGCGGGTTCGAATCTCAGAAGAAACATGAGTTCCTTCTAGGCAGTTGCAGATACGCCTTGCTGACTGGTGAGTGCCAACTAGCCCGAAACCTAGGTCGGATGAGGCTTCCTGTGGCCTCCAACTATCTAATATCATCAAACACCACTGTTGCTGAAACTTCAAAGCGCAAGCTGGAAGTCCTATGTTCCACTCGGAACGCAAAAGGAATGAAAAAATTCAAGATTTCAAGTGAAAAAGTAACAAACAATTGTTCTAATTTGACGAAGAATAAATAATTTTGGAGGAAATAAAACGCCAACCAAATAGGATATGGATTTATTGAGGCAGGAAGGTACGAACATCTCACATGGGAGCTGGATTCGACCACAAAACTTTGTGGCATGAAAATGATTAATGGGCTAAAAAGAGAAACTACGGTTGCATTATGTTTTTTTCAAAACACTGAGTTGAAAAAAGGATGCCGAGTTGGTGACAGGGGCAGTAATCACGAGTATCGCTTATCTTCACCAACACATATGCATACAACCAACGCCTAACCGATATATCAGCCACCAGCAGCTAGACAGGACACCAAAGATGAGACGGAAAGTAACAGTATGCTTACACAATAATGTATTATTCAAAAAATCACCAAGGTTGCTCCAATTAGTCTGTAATCATGATTAACAAAATAATGGGCGTTATTTTGCGTAGGTTGATTCTGATTAGTTTATTTTCAGATTGGACATCGATCACTTATGTAGGCCAATTCTGATTGGTTTATTCCTAGAATGAAAATCGATGTCCATATTAAGTTAAACCTTCATCTCTATACTATACAGAAGAGAAAAATCAAGCAGTTACACGCATAAAAACGACAGAAAAGTCCAGATAGGTAAAGACAGATTTTGCCGTTATCTTTCAATAAGTATGAAACTAACAGCATCTAGCTATTTAGTATCGAAGAAAATATACAGTAAATGGTTGATATCTGAGAAAATGGAAGATAAGACGCAAAACGATTGACGCAACATCTTCAATATAATGAAAAATATGAGACCAGTGAATTTATTTTAGCAAAAAATAATGAGGCCACAATGAATTTTAAAAAAAAGATGACCACCTGTTAAAGATAACGATCCAAACTCTAAACTGTCTAAGTTAGAAGAACCACTTGACATAATCAATGGATTGGTTGAAGAACGTCTATCACACCGAGGCATTCTCATTAAACTGATACTATTACTACTAAAAGTAGAATAATTCATAGCTGAAGCACGTGTATATTCTCGTTTAATTGGCACTGTATTTAACTTGCGAAATATAAAATTGCACCCTTTACAACTAGTAGAATCTGTTTTTAAATTAGTCAAATCAAAAGAGGAATTAAAGAATATATTATTAGTAGTAAAAGCAGGTGATTTCTGTGTAGTATAATCCGCACTTGCACATCGTTGATTAATGCCATCTGATTCAAGATGACGTCTACTTTCACTTAAACAAGCATCAAATAATTCTCGAGTAATTCCAAGTTTATCGATGAGGAGTAAAGACCAAACCTTTAAAAAAGGAAAGAAAAAGACACATATAAACAGTATGAGAGAGTGAGACAGATAAAATTATTTGTGTTTTACTAAACTTAATCAGAATCTCATAATTCAAACGCACTGAAGTCCATTACATATTATGCCGCACTATCATTTTTATTACCTAGTGGAAATAAGGTCCCGACAGCCCTTCTCCATTTAGTCCTGCTCTCTACAGTCCTCTACGGATGATCTCTAAATTTCCCATCTCCTTCGTGTCATCCTAAGATCAACGCCCAATTCGTCGTTCCCCTTTCGAGATCCATTCAAGTGATGGTCTGGCCGTAGATGTCACTACTCAGTGGTCTCCTCAGTGTGTGTGTCCCATACATCTCTATTTTATCTTACATATTTTTGTTGAGCATCGGGTTCTTGGTAGGTTTGTCCCCAGAGTTCCTAGTTTTCTATCCTTTCTGCCCTCTCGTTAGTCACACTCTACCAAATGGTCCTGTCCAATACAATCAAGAATATCATCAGTGGTAATCGGCAGCCTCGTCTTAATCTTGTCTTAACTGTAGGAGCTTCTCCGAACTATTCGTTGACATATAGCTGTAGATTGTGGTTGATAAAGGTTTGGAACATGCCTCATTGTCGACGAGTTTCCCACTATCGAAAGTCTTTTCAAAGCCAACAAAGTTGAGATAGAGACAAGATTGTTATTCTATGCTACGAGTGTTCAATCTTTTCGTACACACAATTTACTTTTCCTAAAAGCAGTTTATTCCGATCACAGTAATGGCATTCACAGCATCATAGATTAAGAAAACGCAAAAAGTCAATTATTTTATGGCAAGCAACTATCTGTATTGATCAAATCACCACGCTACGGATCATCATTGAATAAAGCTTAGAATGGCAGTCAGTCAGCTCTCTATCTCAACTTCATTGACTTTGAAAAAGCATTCGACAGCACAGCGTCGATCGAGAAGTGATTTGGAAACTACTTCGCTACTACGGGATGCCATCAACAATTATACGTCTCATACAACAGTTGTACGACAATGGTGCATAACAAGTAATCCACAACGGAAAACTCACGGAATTCTTCGAAGTGAGGACGGGAGTGAGAGAAGCCTGTCTACTATCGCCAAGGATTTTCCTGATTGCGGTAGACTCGATAATGCGACAGACAGCGAGCAATGATGAAACAGGCATAAAATGGACACACACAAAAACTTGGAGGATCTGGACTTCGCTAATGATGATATATGTCTGATTTCCCACAAACTGGAAGATATAGAAGCGAAAAGCAACAAGTTGAAAGAAGAAGCACCCACAGAAGATAGGCCTTCGGGTGAACATAGAGAAAACAGTGGTGATAAAGATTTCTGGCTAACAGCAACAGACAACAATCAGCATAAATGAGAGGGATCTGAAAGAAGCAACCTCCTTCAACTACCTATCTGGGAAGCATCGTCTCAACTACAGGCGGACGGAACTGATGAGGAAATCAAAGCGAGGATCGGGAAACCAAAGCAAGCTTTCATTACTCTCAAGTCTGTGTGGAGGTCAACAGCACTCAGCATGAAAATGAAAATAAGATCCGGATTTTCAACTCCAATGTGAAGTCAGTCAGTGCTACTCTACACGGATCAGAGACTTGGCGCGTCATAAAGAGCATCTCAAACAAACTACAGACCTTCGTTAACATTTGTCTTCGCTCAATACTACTCAAGATCAGATGGCTGGCCAGAAAAGATCAGAAACAGGGTCTCAGGAAGCGAACCAACCAGGAACCGACTGTGCAACAAATAAGCAGGAAGAAATGAAGACGGATTGGCTGGCCATACTCTGAGAAAAGAAACCATCAAGTGAGTGACATCACTAGACAAGTCATTGCTCGAATGGAACCCGAATAGGAAGCGGCGAGTTGGTCGTCAGTGCAAGGGTGACATGGAGGAGGAGGTGATGTGAAGAGGAGATGAAAACATGTTAGCAGACTTGGAGCCAGGTGAAAACCCTAGCATAGAACCTAAGGCAATGGAGACGCGCGGCTGAAGCCCTATATTCCTCTAGGAATTAAAGGAAATAATAAAAGTAACCATCTGCAAGTTATATGGTGCAGAATACAATAATCACCACCACCAACACCCAAAAGGGTTTTAGTAGTCATATTGAGACAGAAATCCCTGCCGTTTTTACAGACGTAAAACACAGAAACGTTTCAAACAAATGCTTAGGTACACGTTTCACTTAATTAGAAAAAAAACATATTTGGTACTTGAGATGACAAATTGATTGATCGATTGATTCACTGATAAATTAATGAATTATAGACATAAATGGTATGTGTGTTATATTACTAAAATTTTAACTTAAATTTATACGCATTTATCTAATCCGTAAAATATACATGACAATTCGTGAATAGATATTAACAAACCGTAAAGGCGGCGTTTTAAAATACCGAATTACTATGATATATTTTTTTGAACGAAAAAAGCTTTAAAACCCTAGAACGTACGCGCGCACGCACACAACTTACACCTTTCGCTTTTATGAGCTTTACGCTAAATGCATCATCACTCACGAAAAAAAGATAAACTCTGCCTTTTAACCACCGTAAATTCTTTTTTTTACAATCACTAACTGTATGGCTAATACAACAACACATGAAAACCTCTAAGATATGACGTAAATGATGGAGGTATAATAAATAGTGTCATTATTTTGCACTAGGAATCGATTAAAAAAACGTATTCATGATATGTTATGACAGATGCATAACTTGCCGAGAACACCAACATTGGTTACAGGATTTCATCATGAGCTAACATCAGTTAGAGGACCGCTGTAAAACTTGGAAGTACTGGACAGCTGTTTCGTCCTAGTTTGGGAATCTTCAGCAGTACACACCCTCTGCCAGGGTTCGGACCCAGGACCTTCTGGTTACAAGGCCAGCGAGCTAGCTCGTAGACCATTAAGCCACTGGGACCTGATCCAATCGCCAGCCAGTCCATGAATTCTAACGTCTGCCAACTCACGGTATAGCACAACCACTAGCCAATATGTCTTCGGCGAGTATTTGTCCTCACACCCGATCTAACCAATGTCAGTTCATGATAAAATCCTGTAACCAATCAACCGAATCCCTACAAACCAATACTTTAAATACCAACATTGTAAGTCAATGGATGCAGCAGAGGTCGGTAGACGTGTTTTGTTTAATTAGTTCCACGGGATCTTTCAACCGAGAAATCTGTGGAGCTAACTAAACAAAACAATTTAGTTTATCTAATACCCCGCCTGCAGTGACTGTCAGGTCAAATATATGGGGCAAAGTAGTACACAGCAAGGTCAGTCAGTCAAACTAGCGGAGCATAAAAAACCTATTTCTATTCAGTTTCATCACTTCAGCGACTCAGGGATTGATTGAATTTTTACCATCAGGGAATAATCTTGTTGAATTAGAATATACAAATGACGTAGGCCTTCTATGTGAAAACTCTGACAAAATGCAGAGTCTTCTGAACACTTTGAACAGCCTCTTCGAATGATTGGCATGCGATTCACTCCGCCAAATGTAAGATGATTCGACTACATGACTCCTAGCTTAGAAATAGGGAGTGAAGTGGTAGAACACGTTGACCAATTCACTTATTTGGGGAGTTGTATCAACCCCAACAGGTTGATCGCTGACGAAATCTCAACATAGATATAGGAGGCTCGTTTAGCATATACCAGTTCAATCCGTCTCTGGTGTAGGTGTGATATCCGGATAGCTATCGAATAAAGGACGTGTGTACTCCTCAGAAATCCCATCCGTCCTCCTTTATGACTATGAGACCTGGCCATTGAGAGTGGAAAACATGAAAAGGCTAACTGTCTTTGATCACAGGTCCCTGCGTTCTATCACCCGTGTGAGATCATATAATAGGGTGAGCAATATTGAGGTTAGGCGTCAGTCGAGTGCTAGGTAAGAAGGGGAAATCAATCGACGAGGTTGTGAAGCAGCTGCATCGATTGAGATGGTTAGATGTGTTACGCATGCCTGACCATCGGTCTCCTTGACTGACGGCGAATGTTAGCTGACCATAGTATGGGTAAGGCTGGAAAAGGTTCAGTGGTGGTCATACCAAAACATGGCGTCATCAGTTAATGAAATCTATGGTAATTAGTTTAAGCCACGTATAGAGGTGAAGACTACTGTCTAGTTGGAGTCCTCGGGATGGTCAACATCAATGGTTGGAGTGGAGACAATTGGTGATATGGCTCGAAATCCATCTCAATGGTTGGCGCAGATGCATCCACTCACATTGTGACTTATAATATCTAATAAAACTACATTGTTCTTTCATATCACTATTCTTTTTGCTTCATATCTCTGTTTACTGTCTGTATTTTTCAATTCTGTTTACTTTCTTCTCTTGCTTTGTGCTAAGTGAAGTTTAGCAACTGGAACTGCTGCGTATCTGTGCAAAATTCTACATTGGAACCAGTCAGTCAGATAAGCTGACCCGAATAGGATAAGAAATCTAGAGAATAGTTCAGCTAAAGCACTCCAACATATGGAATTACATACAACCATACAATGGAGTGCGATAAGATGACAGTTTTAAAATCTAATGTAACAGGATGGAGGCAGAGACTGATCGATAACGGAGGCTTTATTTATCGAATCAACTGCACACACGTGTAATAGGAATGATTCAACACCTGTTCACCGATACATCTGGAAAATTCTACTACCCCTAGGACAAATGGGAAAGAGGGTCTCGAAGTTGTGCAGTTACAGCTACTGATATAGCATATCAGTAATATCTTCTTCTTAACCAACCTTTTATTTACTATTTCTACGTGTTACAGAATTCATCTTTTGGACAAGTGTCTCCATTAACATCCTATTTCATATTACGCAACCCTTGTCAATGCTTAACAATCTTCACTCCCACTCCCACAAGTTACAATTTTGATTATTCATCACATTTTAGAAACATTTCTGTGACGCAATCAGTAACCCTTACTTATTTATG